AATATGCTAAGTAGCTGCATTGTCACAGGTGTGGCCTAATATGCTAATGCGTTTATGATGTTGGGTGTGGCCTATTATGCTAATGAGTTCCTGCTGGCCTTTTTCTACAAAACAAGTCCTGGAGATGACATTGAACCCAGTGGGACCCACAGACTGTGAGGTCTAGCATCCTCCCTCCAACACCACCTTCTGGGTCTTGTACTCAAGGAAGGACTAGACTTAACATAAACCAGTGCCTTCAATCACCATCCCAGCAGCTCGGCTCCCAAGGACACGACCTTTGTATGCATCGTGGTGTTTGTATCAAAAGCTTCCAAAAGGTCTGGCAGATGCAGGCTGGATCATAGAATCATAGAGTTGGTAGGGGCCAGACAGGCCATCTAGTCCAATTCTCTGCTCAGTGCAGGATCAGCCTAGAGTATCCCTGACAGGTGTTTGTCCAGCCACTGCTTAAAGACTCCCAAGGAAGGGGAACTCACCATCTTCCTAGGCAGCTGATTCCACTGTTGCACAACTCTTACTATAAAAATGTTTTTCCTAAGATGCAGCTGGTATTTCCCTGCCCTTAATTTAAACCCATTCTTGTGAGTCCTATCCTTTGCTGCCCACAGGAACAGCTCCCTGCCCTCCTCTTAAGTGACAGCCCTTCAAATACTTAAAGAGAGCAACCATTTCCCCCCTCAACCTCCTCTTCTCCAGAATGAACATTCCCAAGTCCCTCAGCCTTTTCTCTTAGGTTTTGGTCTCCAGGTCCCCAAACATCCTCGTCACTCTCCTCTGTACCCGCTCCATTCTGTCCACATCCTTTTTGAAAGGAGGCCTCCAGAACTGCACACAAAACTCCAGGTGCAGCCTGACCGATGCAGTGTACAGCAGGACTATGACATCTTGCTATCCGGATGTTATGCCTCTGTTGGTACACCCCAAGATTGCATTAGCCTTTTTTGTTGCCGCATCACACTGGCTGCTCATATTTAAGTCTTAGCCCACCTGTACCCCGAGATCTTGTTCACACACACTGCTACTCAGAAGCGTATTCCTCATCCAGTATGCGTGTTCCCCATTTTTGTTACCCAGATGTAGAACTCAGCACTCGCCCTTGTTAAATTGCATCTTGCTCACATCCGCCCACTTTTCCGGTGTGTTCAGATCCCGTTGGATTCTATCTCTGTCTTCTGGTGTGTTCGCTGCTCCTCCCAATTTGGTGTCGTCTGCAGATTTAATGAGTAGCCCCACCCCACCCTCATCCAGATCCTTTATAAAATATTGAAAAGTATCGGGCCCAGAACGGAGCCCTGCAGCACCCCACTGGACACCTCCCTCCATTCAGATGAAATGCCATTGACAACTACTCTCTGAGAGTGGTTCTCCAACCAGTTCCCTATCCACCTCACTATCCTGGAGTCCAGTCCACAGTCCTCTAGTTTACCCATCAGAACATCATGAGGAACCCTGTCCAAAACTTTACTGAAATTCAGGTAAACAATTATTATTTGGATCCACTTTGCTTGTTTGGTTCCCAGCAAAGTTTGTCTATCAGGGCAACAAAAACCAGGCCTAGAACTCGATTGAAAAGCATCCAAATAATCCCTGCTGTCCAGGAATATCTGGTAACTTCAGGTTATCTATGCACCTGCCTTGGTCTTTGAAGAAGAAGAAGAAGAAAAGATTGGATTTATACCTCGCCCTTCACTACCCAAGGGTGTCTCAGAGCGGCTTACAAACTCCTTTCCCTTCCCCTCCCCACAACAGACACCCTGTGAGGTGGGTGGGGCTGAGAGAGCTCTGACAGAAACTGCTCTTTTTCGAGGACAGCTCTTATCAGAACTACGGCTTGCCCAAGGTCATCCAGCAGGTGCAAGTGGAGGAGTGGGGAATCAAACCCGGTTCTCCCAGATTAGAGTCCGCGCACTTAACCACTACATGTTTGGTGTAGTGTCATTCTAATCTGTACTGGTGTACTGTCATTCTGATCTGTACTGCTTATTTGGGAGAGGAGGAGGTTTAGCATGACAATGAATACCTCATCAAAGAGGGTATTATCTCGGCATGCCAGATTAACATACCTCTCAGCCCAAAATTCCTCCCCCACTATCAGAACACTTTCTCTCTTTTTTTGTCTCCTTGGTGTAAAATGTTGCCTGTGTGTCTTTCTGCTCATGCATCCACCTTAGGCAACAGGTGCCTCCTGTTTGGGTTTTTTTTTAATGGAGATCCCCCCCCCCCCCTCCTGATGTCCGTATGAATTCCTTTGATCCGGAGGAGTCCATATGTAGTTATATGTGGAGAGACACAGATGACAAATCGTGAGTGATGCAGCTCTGCTAAAGAGTAACTTGCAGCACTTTGGGGTGAAATGATTTCAGCCGCAAAAACTGTTTTCAGATTGAGGGTGGGGGGAGTTAGAACTCCAGGCAACATAGGAAAGGGAGACCCCTGCTGCCACAACACGGATGTTACCAGGATTAATAGACTGCTTCTGATCATTCAGCGGCCCCCAGTGTGGTACCGATGGTAGCCGTGGCGCTCGCTGACAACTTTCCTCGTATTTTCAGGAAATGGGCAGGGGCCAGATGGGAATTTTGCTCCACAGGGCTTCTGATCAGGCATTAGAGTTCTGATTGGCTGTGCAGATTTTTAGAACGTTGCTTTTGGCAGCAGCTTCCACCACAGCAGAAGGTTCTTCACTGGGGGGTTGTTAGCAGTCAGACCCCCTCCTCCCACTGAGGGGCAGTTTTTAGCTAGCAAGAACCATAAACACCCTTCCTAAAATATCTTCCCAAATATCATAAGTGTGCAATACACTGCCTGGCCCAGAACGAGACAAAATGGATGCCAGCCAGAAACAAGCCTGGACGTGTAGTTTAGAAGCCTGGCTAGCCAACGACCTCCTCCCCGCCAGCGTTCCCTCTAAGCTGAGTTAGTGTGAGCCAGCTCACAGGTTTTTTAGCCTCCGGCTCACACGTTTTTGCCTTATGGCTCAGGAAGGAGGGCTCCAGAGCGAACTAATTTATGCCATAGCCAAATCGCTCGCTCACAACTTGAATGCCAGCAGCTCGCAAAGTAGAATCTTTGCTCACAAGACTCCACAGCTTAGAGGGAGCATTGCTCCCCACCCTGGAGAGATGCATAATTTAGGGACAATGGGCCTCCGAAGAACCTAAGCATAAGTTCACTCTCCAACATTTTGCAGCTGGCAGTCCTCTGCCTGTGGTAGCCATTTTGTGGTTGGCTCCATGTCCTGCAGCGGCCAGTTGGTGGCTCCACCCACCATCCTGTGTCAGAATTTCAAAGGTGCCCTCAGGCTCAGAAGGGACTCCTTTACAGAGTCTTGCGGAATGTGTAATAAACACGTGGAATTCACTGCTGCAGGAAGTGGCGGCGGCTACAAGCGCAGACAGCTTCAAGTGGGGATTGGGTAAACAGATGGAGCAGAGGTCCATCCGTGGCTATTAGCCACAACGTAGAGACGGAACACTCTGTCTGGGGCAGGGATGCTCAGGAGGGGGGGGGTCAGAGGCAATGGGCCCGCCTAGAAGCCATGGAGCCTGGGAGCTGCCCACACACCAGAGTAGGGGTGCCAACCTCCAGGTGGTGGCTAGAAACCTCCTGCCATTACCACTGATCTCGAGGCGACAGAGGTTCGCTCCCCTGGAGAAAATGACCACTTTGGAAGGTGGACTCTATGGCATTGAAGCCCCTCCCCTCCCCAAGCCCTGCCCTCTTCAGGCTCCACCCCCCAAATCTCCAGGTATTTCCCAACCCAGAGCTGGCGACTCTACCTTAGAATATGCTGACATTGGTTCTGCACCGAGCTTACACTGCTTCTGATAGGCTTGCCAAGTCCCCCCGGGGGGCGGGGAAACCCCCGCCCCAAGGGCCCGTTCTCCGCCGGCGGCGGATCGGGTCCCGGGGGGAACCCCACCCCGACATGCGCGTCACCAGGAAGTGGCGTTAGGACGCCGGGCACGCTGGGGGCAGGGCCACTTCTTCGATGGTCGTGGCCCCGCCCCCACCGTGCCCAGCGTCCTAACGTCACTTCCTGGTGATGTGCGTGCGGTGCGTGTGCGTGCTCCAGTCGCCGCCCGGAAGTCCCCCGCTGCAGCGAAGAAACAACTTGGCAACCCTAGCTTCTGACCACTGCGCTACCTAACCCAGTGTTGTCTACTCTGAACGGCAGTGCTTCTCCAAGGTCTTGTGCATGGGTCTATCCTAGCCTGAGGTCTGAGATCCTTTCAACTAGAGATGCCAGGGGCTGGACCTTCTTTATCTACCAGTCTGCTACAGCCAGTGTTCCCTCTGAGCTGAGTGAGTGTGAACTGGCTCACGGTTTCTTAGCCTCCAGCTCACACGTTTTTGTCTTCGCTCAGCAAGGAGGGCTCCAGAGCAAACGAAATGACGCAGTAGCCGAATCGCTCGCTCACAACTTTAATGCCAGTAGCTCACAAAGTAGGATTTTTGCTCACCGGACTCCACAGCTTAGAGGGAGCGTTGCTCACAGCCTCTCGGTATTAGCCTACAGTCAGATCCATCCAAGCTTTCAGTGTGTTCAGCAAAAATTCTTGACAGAGAAGCAGTGGGGTAAGGCTGAAGATAATGACTTTTCTGACTGCTCAGTGAGCTTCCTGCCGAACTGATATTTGAATCGACAGCTTCCTAGCCCACAGGCGATAATGGTCTCAGTGCTAGCTCCTTATACCACACTGCCAGTTTTGTTACAATCCAGTAACAGGAAATGAGGACCTGATAAAAACTTTATAATATTCAGGCTTCTCTTTCTCATATAACTTGTAGAATGGAGAAATGTCATTTATGATGTTTGTGGGTTTTCCATCACAAGAATTTAAATGGAAGGCCAAATGTGATTTCCATGTTGATGAGTTATCTCTGTTGGCTTAATAATACTGGCACTTGAAGGCGGGGGAGGTGCAAATGTGGGAGTGAATATTTGAGGGCTGTTCTGTAAATAGATCTTCTTTTGCTTTTTCTTTGCTCCACAGGTGCCGATCCCTCACATGACGGTAAAATGCTGGGGAGCAACGTTAATAGAAATTCAGCAATTATTGGAGGTAAGGAAAACGCAGGTACCTTGGAGCAGTGTGCCCTCTAAGCTGAGTTAGTGTGAGCTAGCTCACGGTTTTTTAGCCTCCGGCTCACACATTTTTGTCTTAGCTCGGGAAGGATGGCTCCAGAGCAGACTAATTTATGCAGTAGCCAAATCACTTGCTGAACAACTTTAATACCAGTAGCTCACAAAGTAGAATTTTTGCTCACAAGACTCCACAGCTTAGAGGGAGCATTGGAGGTGAGTGTAGGTGTCATGGACTGAGTGTACATCTTGGTGAGGTTTGAATTTAAAACATTCTGATGTTCAAGACTAAGCCAGCAGAAAGGCTTCGGGGGCTTTCAGTAATATTTGGGTTTGGCTTTAAAAACACCCAGGAGCCTTGGGATAAGAGTGTGTGATTGGAAATGGAAATAAATAATGAGCCAGTAAATGGCTGGTAACCTCAAGTGCTGCCACTAAATTAATTAATTAATTGTTGTGAGCAGGGCTCTTTTTGTAGAAAACGCCCAGCAGAAACTCATTAGCATATTAGGCCACACCCCTGACAACACAGTTCATTAGCACATTAGACCGCACCCCCATTTTACCAGAAGTGTGGCCACACCCACCTTTTGCTTCTTATTCTGTTGACCTTGTTTGTTGTCAAAACCCAGGGCTTTTTTTTGAAGCAGGAACTCCTTTGCATGTTAGGCCACGCACCCCTAATGTAACCAATCCTAATGAGTGTCTGCTGTTGGGTGTGGCCTATTATGCTAATGAGTCCCTGCTGGGCGTGGCCAACTCGGGAGCCGGCCGGAACTCCGTTCCTGTGCGTTCCTGCCCAAAAATACCCCTGGTTGTGTGGCATTGTGTGTGGAATAGCTAGGAGATCCCGGAGGGACTGTTTGTCTGCTGAAGCTGTAGCTCTTTTTGGCACCACTAGGTGGCAAGCTATGCTTATTTTTAGGCCAACAGTGCTATGACTTGCCTAAGGTCACCCACCTAGCTTCAAGTGGGGAATTAAACCCCATTCTCCAGATTAGAGTCCCCCTCTTTTAACCACTACACCAAGCTGGCTGTCTTGCGCTACCACTGAATGTGTGTGTTTGCTTAGAATATGTGTATTTCACCTCACTATATGAGTGTAGTTGAGGATGGGATAAATAGAATTAACAGCAGAAGGTTTAAAGGGCTTGAGAGAATAAAGAAATCTTCTCCTGGCACCTAAAAGGATACAGATTTGGTGCCAGGCAAGCCGCTGTGGAGAGAGGGTTTCAAGGTGTGGTGCACCACTACCAAAAAGGCCCTGACTCTGTAGCTCAACCACTTAGCTTCAGAAGGGGGGGGGGGAAGAGGACCTCTGATGATAGCCTCAGCTGGTGAGCAGGTACCCTGAAATGTTTGTCTCCCGTGTTAGCAAAAGACACAGCAGCAGCAATAACAACAGAATAATGAGCGAAGCAGCACAGCAATGAAGACAATGAACTATGAGCAGAATAGAAAAACAACACATCTAAAATTCCAGAGAGTAGCAGCCAAGCACCTAGAAGGAGTTCCAAAGATGAGGCACCTCTGAACATTCTTTTGTGGCCACACTTTCGTAACATTGAACTGCCACGGAGTTTCCCAAGGAACCCTGGGAATTGAATTTATTGAGCAGTAAGTGATTAAAGCAGGGTAGGTTTAAGGAGCTGCGGTGGCTCAAGTGGTTAAGACGCTGAACTGCAGGCTGTGGAAGGTTGGTAGCTCAGCAGTTCGAGACCCGAGTGTGCCGCATGACGGAGTGAGCTCCCGTCTCTGGTCCCAGCTCCTGCCAACCTAGCAGTTGGAAAGCAAGACATTGCAAGTAGATAAATAGGGACCGCTTCGGTGGGAAGGGAACAGCGTTCCGTGCACCTTGGTATTTAGTCATGCCGGCCACATGACCACGGAAACGTCTTCGGACAGCACTGGCTCTTCGGCTTTGAAACGGAGATGAGCACCGCAACCCTAGAGTTGGACTCACCTGGCTTTCGAGCAAGGGAACCTTTACCTTTACAGGGTAGGTTTGCTATTCTGGTTTGAGTCTCAGACAGAAAAGCAGCCTACAAATAAACCCCACCCTCTTCGCTCTGACCTAGAGCGTACCTAGATCTTCCACCAAATCACTGTTTTTAAAACAGGGCGTTGAAGTTGTAGCGATCTCAGCACTTATCATGCTTTGGTGGTTTTTGAAACAAAATCCACCCTTTTGCCTTTTAAGGAGGGGTGGCAGGTAAGAAATACCGTTGGATGGACAGTCAGGAAAGTTTTGCTATAGCTATTGAAGTTTTCGTCATTTCCCTTCCAGATTCATGAATAAATAACCTGGGGATGTGTAGGGAGGAAAGCTAGGGAACATTTTCGACAGTGAATAACTTTTGTGGACTTGTTTGCAAGTCTGGTATAGGAAGGGGTTCACCCAGCACCAGATCTGCAGTCTTTTCAGCTCCAGAAGAATAGGGGCAGCCCAGAAACACTGGGTATCGGGACAGAGACAGGTATGTGCTGTAAGTGGGACGGATTTCTAAGAACGTTGTAGATAGCACTGTCACAGCTTATACCCTACTGTTCCCTTGTGGCTCAAGGTAGTTTACATTCCCAAAAATTCGAAATATACAAAATACTATAAAACCCCATTTACACCCCCCTCCCCCAGAGCACAGCTAATAGATGCCAGTATGGGCCACATTAAATGGGGAAGGGCTGTGGCTCAGTGGAAGAGCTACTGACTTTGATGGACCCTGGCCCGTAGCTAACATGGGGCCCACGGGGCCTGGCCCCCTAGTGTTTCTTCTGGGCCCCCTCCCTCCAGGGCTGCCCCCAAAGTGTCCAACTGACCACCTGCACTGTACTTTCATTTCATTAGCTGGTGGGCTCCCCGAGGCCCCCTCCAAAAGAATTCCCTAGCTATGGGGCTGGATGGACCAAGCATCGAATTCAGTTTAAGGTAGCTTCATGTGTTCATGAGAGCCAGTTTAGTGTAGTGGTTAAGAGTGCAGACTCTAATGTGGGAGAACGGGGTTTGATTCCCCACTCCTTAAGGTATTTGCTGATCTTTGATCGTAATAAATCAAATTGAATTGATTCCCCACTCCTCCACTTGCAGCTGCTGGTGTGACCTTGTGTCAGTCACAAGTTTTCTCAGAGCTGTTCTCTCAAGAGCAGTTTGTCTCAGAGCTCTCTCAGGCCCACCTACCTCACAGGGTTTCTGTTGTGGGGAGGGGGAGGGAAAGGAGATTGTAAGCCACCCTGAGACTCCAAGTGAAGGGCAGGGTATAAATCCAATCTGCTCCTCCCCCTCCTCCTCTGATGTATTCATTGAAACAACTAGAAGTTGGCAAACCAGAAGGCCATACTTGGTGCTCCAAGTACACATGGGGGCAGGTGGCCCTTCAGAAGATGGTTTTAACCACTCAGAAAACGTATCCCCGAATTCATGCACATTTCCACTTATACACCGTACTTCTGAAGTGACGTGATGCGACCATAGTTAGGATTAAAAAATTAGTGCTCTAATTAGGCCTTCCTGTGTGATCGGCGGCACTCCACAGAGCCATCGAGGCAAAGTCGAGAGAGCTACTTGCCGGTTACATTGGCGTACATTGAGAATTGAATAGTAGTCATAGAGAGAGAGTGTCTTTGTTACAGTAAAAATAACTTTAGAGCAGGGGTCATTTTGTAGAAAAAGAGGTGCAGGAGCTCATTAGCATAATTCATTAGCATGACTTATTTGCATATGCCACACCCCCTGACATCACCGGAACTGTCCACCACATATAATAAAACGAGCCCTCTGCATTTTTACATTTCAAACATTTGTTTGACATATTACTGTTCATGTTTGCAATCTTTTTTGGTGTCATATACCATCTATACATCATCTTATAACAATTTTCTTTTAAATTATTACATGTTGATATTTTCAATGCATTCTTCCATAAATATTCCCAAGATGACATCAATATTTCTTTATTCATGTTAACTGCCCATTTTATCATTTGCTCTTTAACTGTCTCATCTTCTGTATACCATTTTAATAATATCTTATATATTTTAGAAATGTTTTTTATCCCCCTCAAACCATACCTTTTCAATATCATTATATTTTCCCCTGAATCCAAAAGCTTTTTTGTCTTTTCTAAATAAGTCATTGATCTGTCTATATTGTAGCCAACCATACTTAAAAGCCAAATCTTCTTCCATTTTCATTTCAAATGTTTTTCCCACTGGTTTCAACATTTCTCTATATTGTACCCAATCTTCTCCTTTATGTGTTGAAAAAGGTTTTATAACCTCCGCCAGTACAATCCAAAGTGGTCTCTCATCCGAGAAGAACCTTCTATACTTAGTCCATGCATCAAATAGAGTTCTTCTAATATAATGGTGTTTTAAAAAACCATCCAATTTCGTTTTTTTCATACCATAAATAGGCATGCCAACCAAATTTACAATTGTGTCCTTCTAACGCCAACAGTTTCCTATTGTCCAACATAATCCATTGTTGCAACCAGGTTAGACAAACCATATCATGGTACAGCCTCAAGTTTGGTAACTGAAATCCGCCTCTTTCTTTTGCATCACAGAGGATCTTCATTTTAATCCGTGGTTTCTTCCCGGCCCATACAAACTTTGAAATTTCTCTTTGCCATAAATTAAATACCTTCACATCTTTCACTATTGGGATTGTCTGGAATAAAAACATCAACCGTGGTAAAATATTCTGATCGTAAGATTTGAAAAGATTAATTCCTAAGTGCTTAGTTAATGTCAAGACTCGGCTATGGGACCCCTGACTTGTCTGTTTCCTAATCTGTTACACTCTTCCCTCCCTCTTAGGCATCATCGCCGTCGTGATCTTCACCATCCTCTGCACCCTGGTTTTCCTCATACGCTACATGTTCCGCCACAAGGGAACGTACCACACCAATGAGGCCAAGGGGGCGGAATCTGCCGAAAGCGCCGATGCAGCCATCATGAACAATGACCCCAATTTTACGGAAACCATTGACGAGAGCAAAAAAGAGTGGCTTATCTGAGATTGGGGGTGGGGCGGGGAGCGGAAGGCGTGGGAGGAGGGACCGGGGAGGGACCGGGGAAGACTTTTTCAGCAAGGAGAAGAGAGCTCTCTCTTACAGACTCTTGAGCACATCTAGTTTTTAAAAAAGAGAGAGAGAGAGATCAGCACAACTGAAGGAGCAAGCGACAGACAAAACATTGAGACTAGAAACCACGGCGGCGTTCCTGGAGAGTACTTTTTAAACCTCGATTTGCAGCGAAATCGCCCCCCCCTTCTTGTATGCATCTAAACCAAGAGCATCAGAATCCAGCATTGGTTCACCCTTTGTCAGTAATCTATCTGTCTTCTTTGTGTGTGGCTAGAGGTGTTCAAAAACCCCTGTAAGTAACGGGGCCCACTTTTCTATATTTTTTTAAAAGCCCTTTAAAATGTAAATATCTCTCCCCGGAGAATGGCAGATCAGAGTCCGAAATCCGGGACTGTTCTTCTCTTAGTGTTTCTTGCACAGATAATTCCCTAGAAAGGATGCTGTTAACAGCTGGTCATGCTCACATAGTGTTTCAGCGGTCATCGTTTCAATGTGTGATTGAGGAAGTCTCAGCTCAGGCGAGGGTTGCCAGGCACCAGTTGGGAGGTTCCTGGAGATTTCAGGACAGAGCCGGGGAAGGGGGGGGGGAGTTTGGGCAAGGGAAGGCGGCCATCTTCTGAAGCTGCCGTTTCCTCCAGGGGCACTGATCTCTGTATTCTGGAGATGATTGTCATCCCAGGAGAACTCCAGGCCTCATCTGGAGGCTGGCAACCCTAGTCCAGGCATATCTACACTGCAGAATTTAAACCAGGTTTTTTTTTCAGTCATTCCTAGAGAGTTCTGGGAACTCTGCCGCTCTTCAAGGAAGGGTGCAGAATCTACCTTCTGACGCTCTCTTTAGCAACGTGGTCCGAACCCATGTTGTAAGGTAAGGCCCTTCCTTCCCCGCCATAGCCCGTGTTCCCAGGAGAGGCACCGATGGAGGTAGGCAGCCTTGGCTTCTCTCATTTGACATTAGGCTTCCAAGAGGCATTAGAAGAGGCCACACCGCAATAGGTAAGGGTAACGCTGGAGGGCCCCTAATAGCAGATAAAATCATGGAAGGGACCTCCAGGGTCATCTAGTCCAACCCCCTGCACAATGCAGGAAATTCACAAATACCTCCCCCCCACACCCCAGTGATGGCTGTTCCATGCCCAGAAGATGACAAAACAACCTCCAGGATCTCCAGCCAAACTGGGCTGGATCCGTGTACCTTCACCCAAGCACAGTTCCCACGGTTCTTTAGTGGAAGCCATAACAGTTCGACTGGTTTAAAGCTGTTAGAGGTTTGTTGTGTAGCTCTGCCCTCAGACAGCAAGAAAACTGGAGTCCGGGGAGCACTTTGGGTGAGAGGAGCCACGTTTGCCTGTTTTCGATATTCCATCGACCTGTGCCAACACTTGAATGTCAGATGTGGGCACCTGATGATTGTGTACAGTACTGACCAATAATGTTAAAAAAACAACTCTCCTCTTACTATCATTCCTATCATTGTAAGAGAGGAGTATCGTAAAGCAAAGAAAGTCTTGTTTAGTTTCTTGCTTAAATCTGAAGAGAGGACATTCCATTTAACTCTGTTATGACTCTGCCGATCTGAGGTTATCGGGCCACATCCGACTCTGTTCTACCTGTGCCCTATTGGCATAAGCTGTACGTATGTAGACATAAGCATCGTAGTAGGGAATTAGAACCAGAATTTACAAGTTTGTTTGCTTCTGTTTCTTATATATAGGCTGTTGCAGAAATATTACTACAAGTTTTAGCAAAATGCATTTGATCTGGTGAGATGTCCATATAATAACATTGATCTGCCAGTGGCACACCAATTAATTTTCATTCTTTCTTCCAACCTCCGACTGAAGCCCTGTTGGGGAAGGATACTGGTGGGTTTTCTCTCAAGAGGAAAGGTTGAGAACTTGAAGTGAGGAGGCTGAATCGTCCCATGCACAGAGAGACCTTCAGTATTACCCGGTCCTGGAGCATGGCTTCTCTACAGTCCACAGACCTGCCTATGCTTATTCTCATTCTCTGTTAAGGTCATTTGAGGCCAGATAAGGCAATAACTAATGTTTCAGGGATTAAAAAAAAAAATCACGGACCAGTTGAAATTTACTTGTCACTAGAGTAGCATGATTTGGGCGTGATTCACACATCCGTGGGATCCAAGCCACGGTGGTGTCAAAAGGTCAAATGCTGTGAGTTTTCTTTCTCACGTGAATGGAGTAGCTGCCTGCAAAGGTATGTATCAAATGATAACTGAGGCCACTTCTACACTACAAAGTTAAATCAGTTTCAAACTGGTATGAATCATCACACAGAACCTCGGGGCATTGTAGTGCTATGAGGAGGATGCGTTCTTCATTGTAGGCCTTGGCCTTACCCTGGACTACAGTTCCCAGGATTCCTTGGCTGAAATCTGAGCGTTACGACACTGGTGTAAATTTGTAGAGTGCACAAGCGTCTTGCCCCTTGATAACAACCACCTTCAACCAGGCCCGTAGCCAGGATTTTTTCATTCGGGGGGGGGTTTAAATAAGTCAGGGGGCACCCCCACACACACACACCCAAGGAAGTGCCACAAATAAAATAAAAAATTGGAAGTTGGGGGGGCCAGGGGGCTGGATGGGAAGTCGGGGGGCCTTGGCAGTAAGTCGGGGGGCAGGCCTCGGGATGCCCCACTGTAGCTACGGGCCTGCCTTCAACTGGCCTTTTGATCTGGCCCTTCCTTTACCGTAAAAACAGAATCAACTGGGATGATGCCAGACAGGTGACTTTCAAAAATATATAATAATTCCCACTGCAGATGAAGACAAATTCTCCATTGCCGGAGCTGTATGGGAAAGTTGTGTAGTGCGACCTAATGGAGATAAGATTGTATGGCTTACCGTGTATTTAAAATGTTAATTATTTCTTGTGAAAAGGTTTTAGGCCTATCAGGGCTGTGGATCCATGTAGCCCATTTGCTCACAGTTTTGGTATGCACAGATTTGAACCATTTCTATATCAACTACTTCTAAGAAAGATTGACTGGAAATCCGAAATAACTGTAGCTCAACGTACTAAAGACTACTATTCTCTTTTAGCTGAGTCCTCATTTGATTTCCTGGGAGGGGAGGGGACGGGACGGGACGGGGTGACTGTGTGGTTTATATTCGGGTTGTGTATTTGGTTTATCCAAGCTGGGGGGAAAACCCCCAAAAATACTGTACCAGGTTTTGGGGGGGTATTTTTAAGATGAATGCAGATTAGAGAATCTGATTCAGCTACCCATATAGCTGAGCCCGAATAAAAGCTGATATTATTATTTGTCTTTTATTTGGGCACAGCTTGGAGAAGGGATTTAAAGAGATGTGGTCTCTTTAAATGCCTTCCACCCCCCTCCACTGAAAGCAATGGAGGATGGGGGGGCTCTTCTTTGGGAGCCATAAAATTGGAGCCCCTGGTCCAATCTTTTTAAAACTTGGGGGAATTGAGGAGAGGCACCAGCAGCTATGCTCCAAATCTGGTGCCTCTAACTCAAAAAACAGCCCTCCCCCTGAGCTCCAAATACCCTGTATCGACTCTCCATTATGCCTTATAGGGATGGTTCCCATCGGGTATAATGGAGCTGAATAAATTCGGGTTTCCCGAATATTTACCCAAGTCCCAATACCATACCAATATTGGGATTCTGGAATATCAGGATTTATTTTTTTATGTTGGTCCAATAGACCTGAATCTGGAAGGGGGGGAAATATATATTTTTCCATGCACACCCCTAGTTTATATATCGGGGGAAAGTAGCAATCTGGAGAGAGAACTTTCTTGAGAAATCTTCTGAATAATATTCTGCATGGGTTTGCCTTCCACTCCTGAATTGCTTTGCTAGAGTTGGTGGGAGACGTTTCCTCAGAAGGCTAAGAGGATGAGGAAAGTAGCGACATGTTTTTGAGGCGCCAACGACATAAGCTTGGTAAGAAATCCCCCCTAGGCATGAGGGAATATCACAGCTTTTCCCGCCTTTATATTATTTTATTGATTAACTTCATTGATACCTCACCTTTCTCCCCAAGGAGGACTCAAGGTGGATTACATCCTTTTCCTCTCCTCCATTTTATCCTCAACAACAAACCTGTGAGGTAAGTTAGGCTGGCCCTGACGTGGATGGCGCAGGCTAGCCTGATCTCGTCAGATCTCAGAAGCTAAGCAAGGTCAGCCATGGTGAGTATTTGGATGGGAGATCCCAAGGGGTTACAGGGTTGCTGTGCAGAGGAAGGCAGCAGCAAACCACCTCTGGTGGTCTCTTGCCTTGAAAACCCAACAGGGTCACTATAAGTCAGCACTTGACACACAAACACACAAGTTAGGCTGAGAGAATTTGACCGGCCCAGTATCACCCAGCAAGCTTCCACTGCAAAGTGAGGATTCCAACCTGGTTCTTCCAGGTCTGAGTCAGACACTCCGACCACCATACCATCCTGGTTCCCTCTAGGAAGCCATCGGTGCCTTTAAGACACCGGCAGCCATCTTGCCAATCCCCTTCCTTCATCGCTTACTTATCTTCTTGCATAATAACCAACTCGCTTTGTTTTAAGGAAAGGGGCAGGCCTGGAAACAAGGAATTAATGTTACCAAACTGACACGAGGCACAAATAACCAATCTGCTCCCTACACATTCTTACCATTCGATGGGCGTTTCTCTGGTAAATAAACTGAACTGACTTACGTTTCCCGTTTTCCAAACCCGATGGGAATTGCACGTGACATTTATTGTCACAGAGATTTTGTGCATGTGTTGGCTTTTGATAAAAGAGTGCCTCGGAGAAGGACGGAAGGCAAATAGGATTATGAATTTTATTTATTTATTTCTTCACATTTATAGCCCCCTCTTCCCAGAAGAGTGGGCTCAGGGCGGGTAACAACATTGTTTATACAACAGTTTTGTTAATAAAATAACATTAAAATGTAAAACATCTTCATAAATATTAAAATGGTGGTCACAGCTAACAGCAACAACAACAAAAATCCCCTGGTTATGGGAGGTTCCTGGCCATAGCCAGTAGTTGTTAACACAGGGACAACCACCTCAGGGAGGCCATATATGGACATCCGTTGCCTCAGCCAAAGGCCTGGCGGAAGAGCTCCGTCTTGCAGGCCCTGTGGAATTGAAGTCAATCCCACAGGGCCCTGATCTCAGTGGGGAGCCTGTTCCACCAGGCAGGGGCCAGGTCGAGGCAAGTCAGACGTCTTTTGGGCCAGGGACTACCAGGAGGTGTTGATTTATTACAACTTTCTCAACCCGCAAAGTCATCCTCCTAATCCCCCCCCAAAAAACCCTCCTTTTTTATTAATTTTGGACCTCTAATCCTCTTCAGAGCCCCATTAATTAAAGTGTGCTTTTATTAAGCAGGAGGAAGGCAGACAGCAGCGAGGGAAGCTGAATGGATTTGGTGAGG